AGCAGCCTGCCACTAAGGCAGACTGGTTGGTCATTCCTGCCCGCAGCACAAGCGTATAATGTGACCTTGAGACTTGGGAAAAAATTTGAAAGGTATAGAAGAAACATCCCTTACGAGGACTTCTGTCCTTCTTTTGATTTCGCCAGGCCTCCGTCGGTATGCCAACATTTTTTCAGAGCAACTTCAAGGAAGTCCTGCTCGCTCTGTTGTTTTCCAAGAAGAGGTGGACTACTATAGCAGGTAAGCATTTGTTATATACAAACTCAGTTAAGGAGGATTTTGAATATGTTTAGAAGACCCCGCCTTGGGCGATTCGAACCTGGTCATTTCACCACACCGACGCGATTAAGGATCGACTGCCGTTCAGAAGGGAAAGATGAAGGTTTATCCGCGACAAACACCACAGCAGGGTGTTATATCGGAAAAATTGTATGGGATGATGCTTGTACAGGTGGGTTGCTTTTGCAACTGCACTTTTGCGAGAAACGCGCAGGTTTCAGCAGGAAGCAGTCCACTGGCTACTTGCGAAATTGATTCGAGATTCTGTGAGGTGTCGGGTCACATGAGATGCATGGACGATATCGTCTGCGATATAGCCCAAGACTGCCCGAATGGGAAAGATGAGGAGTTTTGTGGTAAGTCATCAGGGTGGTCCGATCAGTGACTTGCTAGACTGAATCCCTTCCAGATGATCAGCCTCCGGGAGCCAGATGCGATTTCAATGATGATAAGTCATTCTGTGATGGTTGGACCATGTTAACTGTTGAACAGGGGAAACCCGTCAACGATCATCTACTCCAGATTAAGCTGATGCCAGGAAATGTCGGGCCGATTCATCCATCCAGACCTGGAGGAGGTGTTTCAGTTTCCTAGAAATTAATGTGTAGAAGATTAAGTAATTGAATAAGTTTTGCGGATCTAGGTGGTTTTCTGCTTTACTCATCCGAGCTAAACTGGAATCGTTCGTTACCGACAAGGCACACTTACTTCACGTCACCATTTTACCCTCCCATTTTCAACGATGACGGGAAATGCAAGGTGGGTATTTGACTGATTTTCCATGCTCGTTATATGAGTGGAGCGTGGTCTACTGTTATGCCTTCCTATACATCCTAAAAAGGGTGGTCTTGCCAGTGGGGAAGATGCTAAGGTAGGCCCGACTCCGCCCATGCAAAGAGCGTGCAGTTTGCCTTTGAACATGTAGAACTTCCATTTTCAGCTACGATTCTACGCGATTCAAGCAGGGGTAGATGTTCACTGGTCACTGTCGATCATTCACCCATCGTGGGTCGAAAAAGCAGCGCCTCTGAAGAATACCCTTGGAAGAAGAAGGAAAACGGTTTGACGTCATCGAAACTTTTGCGTATTTTTTGAAGGAAAAATAATTTACAGAATCGAACGCTCTTGGCATCGAATCTCCACGGAACTGGGACCAATGGTTTGTTATTTCTTTGATGTTTTTTATGAATTAGCTCCGAAATTTGAAGAGGATAGGATGAGCCATGCACTTGACTGTAAGGCGAGGGATGTGCTGACATTTGAATGCACATTTAATAACACATTCCGCGACTGCCAATTCATAAAAGCGCCCATGAACGAAAATGTAAGTCGAAAATGCATCACCAGTAAAGAAAAAATTCTGAAACAGGCCCACAGAGAGCCACCAAACAAAACCGCTCTGATCTTAGCATCAACGCGCGCTACCAGACGCGAGCAAGCGAACCATGCAAAGTGGGAGTCTGACTTCCGGTCCAGGTTCTGCCTCTCGGGTGTTCCACTCTGCTCATCACGTCCAATGGTACGCGCGTTCTGGATGCAAAGACATCAGAGCGGGTTCTTTCTTGGTGCTTCTTATCTTGTGCTTTCTTCATACGTTTTTCTTTAAGTGGCGGGGGCTGTCAATTTTTTGCCACTCATGTCGTCAATGGAGCCGATGCGGGCTGTAGCAGCGGCGGTCGGCTCTAGGGAGTAGCCGGCGGTCGCGGGGGGGACTGTCGTTGTCGCCGCCCTCCGTCAGTTCCATGCCCGCACCGCACGCTGCGCTCTCTTCGTTATGCGAGCTTCTCCTATCTTTGCCCTCTGCTGCCCCCCCTCAATACGTGATAGTGCCGTCGGGCCTTGGCCGGTGGACGGGAGATCGTGCTGTTCGGGTGTTCGGGCGGATAGGCTGGGATGAGGTGAACTTCTCGCGAAGTGCTAATCATATCTTGTGTTAGGAATGCTTCTTTCTATACTCGACTTTCTATACTCGAAATTCCTGACATCGGGTAGGCGTGGCCTCATGTTTCAACTTAACCTGACGGGGTCTATGCTTCTCGGTGAGGAGTATTGTTCCATCTTAACACACTCTTGCGTGCTTCTGTCCAAGCACAGAACAAAGCATGACAGTGTGTCCCAGAATGAATTATCTCCCACCGAGTAACCATTCCGTGCACAATGTTTAAACTTCCCCTACTCTGTGATTGTTTAAGTACATTTCGTCAGGTTGCCATACCGCTAATCAGACGATCCGCTAAATGTCATCTGTTCGCCCTCAGCTGAGATCACTTATAACTTCTAAACTCTCATCTCTAGCTGCTGTACCTCTCGAGCGGCTCGTCAGGTAGTAGCGGCCGCCGCAAAAAACGCTTGGGCGTGCTGGCGAATGTTAAGTTGCAGAGGTATGGCTGTCGCGCGTCGCGGTCTCAGTGACCACGCAGTCTCGCCGTCCCCCATCCCTCCCCCCCCCCCCCCCGCGCCGCCATCTCGTCAGAGAGACCAAGAGGGATCAAGATTGTACTTGCTCGCAGAGGGAGAGTGACTTCGTATCTAATCGCGGAGCATTTCTCTGAAGGACCTACCAATCCTTTCAGCCAAAAGTATCGGCACATACAGTCCTCATCATTGCGGCAGTCGGTGGGTGCGTTTGCCAGCCGAAGGATAGTGCGCACACTGTTGAAGGCCTCTCAGCCTCTTTTTTTTGCAACGCGGTTTGCGATTCAAAAAGTGGTTAGAAAACGAGTAATACGAAGGATATAATACAGTAATGCACTTCAAAGACTGGTGCAGAACGATTTGCCAAACCGCACCGAAGCAGACCGCCAGTGCCACGCCCCACCTGGTAGCCGTAATGAAGAGGACTGTATGTGTGAAAATCGCGCAGTGGCGCGACTCATTCGGAAATGGCAGAGCGTCTCTATTGGTCTCATTTGCTTCTCACCCACTGTCTAGTGCATGCGTAACACATCATAGCAGAAAATTTATTCCGAAAACTGACAATTCTCACTTCTCGCATGCAATATAATAGTAGAATCTGGATTCAAGTTCGCTACAATCTAGGAATGCTTCTAATGTGTTCCCATATTCCTGCACTTGGATCTGAAACTTTGCCAGTTGGAAGACGATAGATTGCGAACGGTTTGACCAATTTTTTTTCGCGCCTGTCTAGCGACTTAGAAAACTTGTTCCGCGAATCAGGTATAGAATTAGTTGAAAAAAACTATAGACAAGGAAATATCACCGCATTACGACAAGTTTATAGAGATTCTACTTACGACACCCTTGTCCGGGGGACGGATCGTAATTTGTCTATAGAAAGTTTCGTCTATTGTGACTTTCTCTTAGTTTTATCTGGTCTACTGGCCAGCTTCCCACTCCGTTTCACTGCCCCAGTTTTTTTCGGGGAAGAAAATTGATTCTGCAAAAAAATTGGCAAAAGTGTCTAGAAATCTCGAAGAAACGGGGAAAGATTAGTAGGAGTGTGGCGGGATGAGGAGTCAATAGAGAACTATGACGAGAATAGAGCATTGTAGTCTCAAGTTTCCCCTCAACTACAACAGCTCAGTCTATGGAGAGCAAATGTCTCAAAGCACACATCCATAACACTGGGAAATACGCAAATGAAACCCTGAGATCCTTCCCACGCTTGAAAAACGTGCGACTCCTAAATAGCAGATCATTGGCACGGAGCTGATTCCGTATCTCAGAATGTATGGGTAGCTCCCTATAATGACTTGCGTGGACCTGCTGATGAGGAAGTTGTTGCCCCTTTCACCATTCTTTTCTTGGGCGGGTTTGCTACCGCATTCTTGTTCCCGGCTGAAGGCAAACCTGACTAGTGAAGGAACATGGGCGCGGTTCGACTGGGTGGGGGCACCAAAAACCACTAAACGAGTCTTGCAAGCTACAGACTCATCATTCTGTAGCTCTCCAATAGGTTACAGGTGTGAACCTGTCAGTTAGCATGTACTAGCAAGAGGAACTAGCAAAAGTGTGAAATGCCCCTTGCAATCCGAACAGCACCGGAACATGGCATACAGAGGGCCCAAAGCCCAACTTATGAAAGTAGTGAAGGCTCTCAAAACGAAGTTTTACATTTCAGTTATTCCCGTTCGCCATACAAATCGAGGCCAACTGGGCAGTGACATCATCAGCAAAAAGAAATTCGTATATGGCCATAGATGACATCTCTCTGAGCGTGGAGTGCTTTGATAAAGGTACCATTTGAAAATGAAAAGATGCTCCGAGGCACATTTTCTACGCTGGTCGAGTGGGCGGGATCGGTTGTACCATTATGCCTATCCTATTTTTGGGAGTCGGACAGACAATCGTAATTTGCCACATTTGCCGCGCGCGGAGTACCTTGCGGCGATGCGCGGCAAATTCCCGGCGTACATCAGTTTGTCGACTGGAACCGAAACTCGTACGAATACCAAATTTTCTCGTCCCCTTAACACTCAGTTTCAAATATCCATGGAGGACAACTCGTCTGGCGGGCGCGGTGTCGCTCGCCACGCCCACTACCACGGCGTATTGCGATTGTCCTGTCATACAGCCCGTCTTCTTCTGCCTTGGAAAAGAACACGATCACTCTGATGACGAGGGGCCAGTGGTGGGCCTGACTCCGCCTAGGATCAGCGCGGATTATAGCTTTGAATGAAATGTTTCAATTGTGCTTGGATTTCATATTTGATTGTAAATCGGTTCCTTTCAAGCTGCGCAGTTGTCCCCTGCGGGCAACTGGACATCGTTGTCTATCGACTCATGCAATTCGACCGGTACTCAACGCATTCGACAAGACCAATGCAGGTTACGTGGCCATAGACATGGACCTTATCAATTCTTGTCCGTTGACGATCAGCGACAAATCTGGACAGTTCCCGAGACTCTTCTGTACAGGTATGTACTAGTATGGATAGGAAGCATTGGCGCAGTTCGGCTTTGTGGGGGCAACAAATGGCACTCAGCAAAGTGTGCAAAGGCCACCTCGTGAAAACATGTATACTCTCGTAACTAAAGTTGTTTACTTGTACCATTTCGCACTTTCATCAGAGACTAATAACTCTCCACCAAAAGGAGACCTATTAGTTAACATGAACTAACTACAGAAAAGGAACTAGCGAACGTGCAGAGTGCCCCTCCTAGACCGGACTGCACCGGGAACATGACATATGGTTCTCCTTTTCCTGTTTATGTTAAAAGATGTTGCGAATGAGATTTGCTTTCTCTGCTCACAAGCCACGACGATCGTGTGGGCGGAGTCAAGCCTACCGTTGTGCTTTCTCCACTGGTGGGCTCCTGCCTCTCCGAAACAGCAAGGAGAAGGGGACAACCAGTGGGGCAGGCTCGGCTCCGCCCATAGCACAAAAGTGGAGGATGCCTTCAATTGTCTTTGAAGGTTGACTGCCTGTGGTGCTGAGGGCGGTTCGTTTCCCTTTCAAGCAGTCGAGAACGGTGGCGGTTGTGTGACAGTCGACATAAAGCTGGTGATTGGTACCAAACTGCAGGTGTCTGTTGGACAGAAAGGAGAATCACCTTGCGACAGGCATGTCAAGAGCTCCATGGTAAGTTACTCAGGAAAAAACAATTGTGGTGGTGACTGACATGTTTCTTTCAGCAAAAGCAGGTCCTGGAGAGTTTGTGCCATGGTCAGGACGCAGATCAACGGCTGAACGTGAGTTGTTAAGAGATGATGTTTGGAAAAAGGAATCAGGAGTGAGAGTGGGGTGGTAAATGAGTCGTCATGTCAGCAGGGGCAGTAGCGGTCTCAAGGGTTAAGCAGGACCACCCTGATGTGAGAAGACTACATAGTCCATCATAGCAGAGTGGAATAGGGAAAGGCAAGGCAAAAAGCAAAAAAAGCAACACCGCTAGAAACACCGCTTTCGCCGCGCTGTCGCAACTGGGATCTTCTGACCAACCGTCCTTTATCTGGAACGGAACAGAAGTAAGAGAGTGTTGTACAATTTCCAGGTATACGTTTCTCTTCTCAGTGCCTAACAACTCTTGAAATAAAGCGAAGACATTTATTTCAGACATCTCTGGTGTACGGAGCTGGAGGTGGTGGTGCCACTACAGTGTCTGTTAACTCTGTCTATATCATCGTCGCTGGTGGTGGAGGTGGAGCCTATCCAACAGATTACATAGAAGGCATGCCCAACAAGTCAGTACTCTTACTCATTCTACAAAGTTCTGTACAAAAACAGGCAGGGGACTACAGCACACCTGTCCATTGCCTGCAATCTCTTACCCTGGTGTCCGAAACAGTTTTGGGTGGAGTTCAGCTAGGTGGGGGGAACAAGTGGTACTCACCGAAGCTGGTACTGGTCATTTGTAGGTCCTGTGAAGACCTGCAATTTTCTGTGTCAGGACCGGTTCACTCGAGCAAAATTGTAGCTTCACAGGAGTTCATAAGTCTGACCAATGTTATACCTGTCAGAAAGCGGGCATGCAAAATGCCCTCAAATCCAAATAGTGCCTAGTTTCAAATAAATTGCTGGCACATTTCATGCCTGGATTCGGTTACGATCGGCAAGAAATGAGAAAGTGGCGTGGATACCCTTTTTAAGGCCTCGAGAAGACGTGACCAGAATTGGCATGTCGAACTTCGCCGTGGTGTTCGGGTTCCTCTCCATCGAGCTAATTTTGCCCCGAAATTGTTTTGAGAGGTATCGGTTCCCTTGATCTTGCTGAAATCCCAATGAAGCACCCGCAAGGAAGGCTTCTCAGGCGGATGTTCAGAGAAGCCTCCTCCACTCTGACCCCGGCGCGATGATCAAGCGCGCGCAAATCGCGAAAGCGTTGCTCCGAAGTCCGGGAATAGGTAAATGTGTATGTGGTAACCAAGAATGCTCAGCTAGGTCCCTCTACCCTTACCCGTACGTTACTTGATTTGCCATCTTTTCGTTCAAATGTTACTGCGATACAGAGTGAAAGTAAAATCTGTGGCGCATCCTGAAGTGTTTGTTAATCGAAAGCGCTACCAAACACCCCTAGGATATTTCCTGAAAACACATTCATCATACATCAGGACTGTGTCCTGTCCACCATTGCAGGTTTCTTATTGGCGCACACCCTAACGAAAGACACGGCAAACCGCAATTGGCCTGAACTCCGCCCCATTACTGGACTATTGTCTTGCACTAAAAGAAGTGTGCGACTATCGAATAAGAATCCTAAGATCTTAACTATTTCCTCACTGGTGCAAGTCTCAAAGAGGAAAATTCTCTGAGACTGAGAGCAGACAGGGGAGCTGTGCCAACAAGAAAAACCCATTGGTGGGCTGGACTTCACCCATGAATTCAGCATGGACTGTGCCTTATGTACAGTATGGTCTGGGCTTATTAGTTCCTGTGAATGTGGAGTATTTCCTACAGTTAGTAAAAACACTGAAAAATCGTTGTGCAAGTTTCAGTCCCGCTGGCGGCTTACCAGAAGAAACACCATCCAAGGGCAAGTCCCATCTTCACGAAAAAGCTGGAATTTCCGTGAGTCTTACTGAATACAGGCAGGTAAGTAATAAATTACTGATGAAAAATTCAGGTTTCCTTACCAACATCTGCACCGTGGTTTTGTGACGGATATGCGAATTTTGGTGGAGTAGCCGTTCCGTGCGAACCGGTTGCCGGAGGAGGAGGAGGGTATTATGGTAGGAAAATAAGATTCTTCAAGTGGTACACCGCACATTAAGAACACTTCCACCCCATTCAGGATTCTAAGTGGGAAGAGCGTGCACTCAGTGAAATGTGCTTTCTGGGGTTAATCATTGCAGAATACAAGTATCTATGGTGATTACCTGGGATAGGAATGTCTGAAGTGTGCGGAGACACGCCTCTAATGGGTGGAGAATGTCCTTAAACAGAAGTTGCTCATTTCAAAAGAATGTAGTCAGTTTCGAAGCAGCACAGAATGATTAATGGTGAAGAGCGGGTCAGCAGTTGAGAAAGTTGTTTTCAGGTGGCCGAGCCATGTCCCGAAATCACGGTTCAGGTGGGACCAACTGGCTTGGCATAAACGTGTCCTCATTCCAAACAAAGGCAGGAACTCATAAAGGGAATGGACTTCTGACCATATGTAAGAGCTCTTTGTACCTTGCCGGATTGTTCAGCCCTCAGGCTTATCTGTTTAGATGCGTGCCGCCTTGAATGCCCGTCGAGGTCGACATGCTTCTTCACGGATCTCGACTCGGCTAGTCGTATGGAATGCCTATGTGAATATGGTGAAACTGTTTCTTCTTCTGGGAGCTGTAGTCAATCTCGTAGTTAGTAAAATTCGCTTATTCTTTGAGGTGGACTCAAAAGCGCGGCACGCGACATGCGCCTCAGCGCGAAATCGTCGCTGCGAAATCGTCGCACGGCGAGCGGTGGATACTCGTGACGCACCCTCACACCAATATTGTGTGAAAGCAGATACCGTCGCTGCACGACCCTGCCGATGGAGAACAGTTTTCCGTGGTACGAGGCCACGCAGGATTTCTTCTCTACGATCCCCTCGTTACTTTATAGGTTTTCCCAACTTTCTGCCACTTTTCCAGTTTCTTTCCGGATTTTCTCCATGCCTCTCCCAGGGAGAACTGTTATAAATCGCACTCGAAACAGGGGAAACTAAGAAAAGTCCCCAAATAAGTAACTTTTTTGAATACTAGTACGACACCTCACACTTCGGCGACCAAATAGGACCCCGTCGCTGGTGATCCCAATGTACTGTGTGCCCTGGATACCACTTGCTCTTAGTCTTCCGCCCATAAAACGCACCCTACACTGTGGCTGGTCGGAGCGCCGAATTTGATCAGGATAGACCGTCCATTGCAGCGAGAAGGTGACTCAGCTGGTTTTGAGCACGAGTCCTTTACCTTTTATAGAACAAGTAGCTCCCCCCCCCTTCCCACTCGTGGTACTTACCACATGGGCTTTTTGCAACCCAGTCGTCCTTTACTAGCCATAAGTTGGTATCCTCTGGCAGCGGTACAACGTTAGAGGGGAATACCTACTTTTGAGTTGTAGGAAAGCGATTGACTTTTTTGACACCTCATGGTTCATGATCAACTTCGTTTCCAGAAGAGTTAAGTCATAATTTCAGTATTTTCCTTCTTGATTCGACACAAGGTGGCGATAATTGTTCTAATTTTTTGCTTGTCAATGTTCTTCGTTGGAGTTCATCGCTGTGAGTATTGCACTTTTTGTCTGTTTGATTGAAAATATGAGTTTTTATATAGCTTTAGTTTGAATTAAATTTTCTGAAATATGTTATAAGGATAAGTAGTTGATAGCAACTCATTAATTAAAGCAGAGGTGTGACTAGAAATCCCTGAAAAGTAGCTCAAAACCAATTCTTTTCAACCTAGTTATTATTATGGCGGAGTCAGCCTTTGTTGTGATCCATCATTGACTGACCCACTCGAGCGAAGCGCTACTTGCAATGATATGAGACTTCCTCGGCTAGTGAGCGATGCCACGAGGAGCTGTCGCAAGCAGCGTCACATGAGCGGCATTCGCACCAGAAGCTAGTGAGGAGTATCGTTCCACCTACCTAGGGAACTTAATTTTGCCGCAACGTGAGCCGCAGCCGCTAGATCTAACCCCTCCCATGCGACTTCTTCAGACTGCATGCTTGTCACAATGATTAATTTTCGAGATTCAGAAAGAGAGTCTATGTTCCTTCTGCCCAGAGCAGAAGAAAAAACTGAAATTAATTGCCCTACCAGTTTTTACCCTTGTTCGGTTATGATATCCATAGTGATACTTGTTATATTTTTACTTTATTATAAAATGACATTTGCTTTATCATGATTCTTAGAGGTCCCATTTGAGCTGCGGTAATCATACTGGGGTCCTTCCTGCAGACGCTGGAGGCGTTGCCTGTTTTTCGACGGGGCAGCCAACCGTTCTCAAGCAGTTTGGATCAAGCGGACAGACCACAAACTGTTGCTTGAAACGGGTACAGCGTCGCGCCAACCAGGACCACTCTGACACGCCCAGCTTCCAGCTAGAAGCGACTTTACTCAGTTGCAGTGCTGCGGAAGATTCAATAAGAGACGGCACCAAAGCAGCAGCCAGATCAGAATCAGTTGCTAGTAATGGTAAGACCAGTCATAAAATGTTATATTTTGGGTAAGGTATGAATTTCGGTGAAACAACGGATGTTCAGAAGTCGGACTATAACGATGTAAAGTATTTGCGAGAGCACTATCTGGGATGAATCGCATCATTCCGCTGCCTCGCATGGAATGAAATTATATCGCAGTTACCGCTTCGGAGAGTTTGTTACATTTCTTACGTAGCGGGTACGCCCTGCGGGACTAATATTTTCATTTCCTGCGAGGCCGCAACTAAGCATTTTCCGGTGTGCGCTCTTCCAATTTGTTGGCTGGTGGGGCTGTCCGCATGGCAGCTGTTTCCTCTCCAAAGCTGTCAGAGCATGGTCAAACTTCACGACCCCCCTTCATCATTGTCTGGAACACAATCGACTTCGTTTAAATGGAAAGGAAGAAGGTCCCTGGGAGTGTTGGACACTCCATTTCTTGAGCGTGAGATCTCCCTCTTTACAGTTAATATGGAACTTCCCTTAGCTCTGTCGAGCACACACGATCCCATCATCAAGTGTTGTGTGTACGACTCTCTTCTCTGGTAGTTTCTCCACCACGTCATGCCCTGCACGTACTAGCGCATTAGCTACTTGTTGCCAGGGTACAGAATGGTAGCGATCAGGGATCAAACTCAATCTTTGATCCTTGGGGAACCGGAAGGGGGGGGGGCGTAATTGGTCAAGCCACTCTTTACAGAAATTTTTCCGAGCCATGGGAGAAATTTCAGGTATTTTCTTGGCTTTTGCTCATTTGTGTCGCCGTCCCCTCCCCATGGAGCCTTTTTTTTGGGGGGGGGGGGAAGCGGAGAACTGGAAAATTCCTTCGAAGATTAAGAAAAAACGGTAACAAGCTGGGAAGTTTTAGGAGGTAGGAGGACCGGAGAAGGTGGCTGTGTTAGCCGAGAAAAAAAGGGGAGGGGGATGGTCAGATAGCGTCATTTTGTTCCGATGCTGTACCGTGATTGTTACTGGTAGGTAATGTTTCAGAGAAATTGGTACAGGCGCATTTGGAACTGTGCACGAAGGTCGGACGATAGATGGGCAAGTGTTCGCCGTGAAAACAATCTCCATGAATAAAAGCACATCAGCCGAGGCTCAGCGCGAATTCGCTTTCGAGGCTTTGTTCATGCAGTGAGTTCATGTAGTAGTTCTATTTTTGCTTACTTTTTTTCGTCGTGAAGGGAGATAAACCGACGGAAAGCTCCATAAATTCCTCACAAATTCAATCTCTCATGTATTTTTTATTTTTGTTTATGACGTTGGTGATTTTGTACTGCCATAGCGCTGTGCCGTCTATCTTGTGTAAAGGGCACTTGCCGATTCGTACAGAAGGTATTCCAGCAAGTTCAACCATCCAAACATTGTGCGACTTCATTGGATTCAGTGGGATCCACCTCGATTACGTATTATTCTCGAATATATGGGAGGCGGCGATTTGCGCTCTTTTCTTAGGGAAGCCCGTCCAACTCAGGTACGCAGTGTTGCCCTAGTAAAGCTTTATGATTGTGAAGGTGTCTGCATTTCCAGGAAAATCTCAATCCATTTGATCTGCGTGTTTCGGATCTCATAAATATAGCGCTTGACATAGCTAGAGGTGAGCACTTTTTTTACATACGACTTGCGCTCCACTTTCAAGTGGGAATGGACGGTGTGCTGAAAGAAAGCCCGCTCTTCATCACAAAGGAAGTGTCCGCGTGGAGCGTTCGCTGCCTCCGTGTATGCCAGTGCTTGAGTCGCCGCGCCTAGCACCCGCTGCGGGAAGCAATAGCGGACCGTCTACGAATCACGGGTAACAGGCCGCGTCCCTCCGGCCACGGCGGCCAGCCCCGCCCCCGCTGTACTGCTTTTTCGTACAAAACAACGCCGCCCGTCGGCCAAACACGTCGCATAATTAGGCCCAGTTCCAGACACCCCCTTTCAGTGACGAGACAAGACTCTTGCGGGCGATTGCTTTTTTCCGAACTTCCATAGCGCTCAGTTTTTTTTTTGAAATCTCGTAAATGTCAAGGGATACATGCAGTTTTGGCTTCCGGCATCCCCAGCGTCGTCAGTGTTTGATGCATCCGAACATCAGGCCACCTAAGAACAATGAACCTAACCCACACGAATTGGGAACTTCTGCGTCGTCCTGGTCGGAGACCCAGGATATACTCTCGGGACCAGCACTGCTTTCGTCTACATCACTCTGCCGCTCAAAAGCAGGCGAGGCGGCAGATCGCTCACCGCTAACGAGAAACCAGTTAAGGTCATTCCTTATTAAGAAAGGAAAGTTCACGCTGGCCCCACAGCGGAAACAGTCGCCGACCGTTGTTGCTTTGTCTCGGAGGTGTCTTCTCCTCCGCACAATTAAGAATGCTCATGAAGAGCGTGCCGATGGGCCACGTTGTTTGCCGGTTAACTTCTAGCAAGACTGGCGGCGGAGCGGCCTGCGTTGGCTTTTTCAAGGCCACTCAAAGGCAGGGGGATGGAAATAGGGGTTTGTCAAAGGCTATTTAGGCCTTACTTCTTGGCTTGTAGAAGCCCGACACATTTAGCGCTGCCCTGATGACGTAATACAGACGAACCCCTAGGACTGATTCGTTCTATCGTAGGCGCTACTTCTTTCGCTTACACTACCAGTTCGTGCTAGCCTTTTCCCTCTGATGCGTCCATTTTCTTCCAAGATTGTGGAATGTAGGGTCATGCCTTTTAGGAAGATGGCGTCCAGGGTCCGGGTTCTCCCACGCGACCAACGCAGATTGTTCACATTTTCAAATTCTTCCTTTTAGGGTGTGAAGAGCTGAACCGGCAAAAATACATCCATCGAGATCTTGCTGCACGAAATTGTCTACTAACGGAGAAGGGTCCAAATAGAAGAGTGAAGATTGGTGACTTCGGAATGGCCAGAGATATCTATGAGTTGGTTTTATTTATTTTTTTAGTCTTTATTGTTACAAATATCCGTCTATCTTTCAGGAATAATTACTACCGTAAAGGTGGGCGCGCCAAACTGCCAGTCAGATGGATGCCTCCAGAGGCGTTTCTCGACGGTTTATTCACAACTCAAACCGATGTTTGGTCATTTGGCAAGTTTTTGTTGGCTGTCAGGGCGTGAGAAAAGCAGAACTACAATTAGGCACAGTCTCAGGGTAGATGACAACTACCAGTGAGATTATATAGCTCCTTTCTAATAAGAATCAAATTAGAATCGTCCCTTCCCCGAGTCATGAGGCGTGAACGCACCCCCCCCCTACCCTACCTCCCTGAATCATATACTGCTCATGTGTACACTCGAAATCCCTGAGATCGGGTAGGCGTGGCCGCAGTTTCAACTTAACCTGAAGGTGTCTATGCTTCTGGTGAGATATTTTCATCTTGACACAACTGTTGTCCTGCCTCTGTCCAACCCAGAACAAGATGACAGTTGTCCCAGACTGGAATATTCCACGAGTAACCAGTTCCGTGCCATGTTCAAATGCCACGCCTACTCTGGCTCAGGGATAAGGAGTGTACTAATGAAAATTCTATCTACTCATCTTTCACCTTTCCTCTGAACCCACTGGACTGCCACAG